TTGCCTGTCTTGCTGTGTTTTAGGATATTGCGCACAAGAGAAAGTGTGTTGGTAGTACATTGAATTATCGTGTGATTAACCCAAATTTATTGAGACTGATTGGTTTAACTTTCCACTTGTTCTGCGCAGACCGCGACACTGAAATTGAATTTGATCACTGACTGTTATATATAAAATCGGCGATCGTAACCACATATAAAAGTTTTTAATTTTATAACTAAATTGCAAAAACATTACTAAGTAAACCTATATCTAAGAAAGAAATATACCTACTGAAAATATATTAGATCTAAAGCTCACAAATTAAGGGAAAGGTAGGCATTTAAATTTTGAACGGATATTTAAAATTTAAATGTCTATCTTTCCTTTAATTTGCGAGATTTAGGTCTAAAACATTTTTCAGTAGGTGCTTTCCATTCTTAGCTATGAGTTTACTTAATATCGTTTTTGATATTTTACTAATAAAAAAAGTAAAAACGATCGATTTTTTCTTTTTAATTATCGTTCAAAAATCGCCAAAAAATCGGAAAATCAGACAGCCGATTTTCAGGCGATGCGCAAATCGCCAGCCGATTTTTGATAATTCGACCAGTGATACCACAGTTACTACGCCAAGAGATGATGTATTTATTTTCTACCATAACAATAAAGTTAGCCCTGATGGTCAATAAAAAACATAATCGAATTTATTTTACTAATGCATTGTTATTAATATTACATATGATTGAAAATTGAATAATTCGTATTTTATATAAAAAATGGTAAACACGCAATCCAAGATCAATTTATTAGAACAGAATTCTAAGCTTCAGGCTGAGATTACAGAATTGCCTATAGATAAAAATACTGAACTCTTGGCCAGAATCATAGAATTAGAACGCTTGGCAAAAGAAAATGAAGAGCGATTTGCAAAAGAAAAATCGTAAATTTCAAAATAGATGTATTCAGATTTAAGGAAATTCCTAAAGAGGATCCGATAATTGAGTATCGCCTTCTTTTTTAATGGATTAGAACTTGAAGTTTTCTTTCAAAAATACCAAATTGCATTGGAAGTGTAAGTAAACTAGCATCAATTTTATAGTGCTAGATGGTATAAAGATATCAATGTTAAATATAAGAAATAATAACTTAAATAAGAATTTGGATATACTGTATATGCTGTAGATTCAATTGAATTTATGAAAATGCAAAAAATGATGTTTTATGCTATATATATATATGTAATTTGTGTGAGGAATATAAATATTATAAACTCCATGAAAGTAATTATTATTAATAACAATTGTTATTACAATTGTGAATTATAAAGTTGGAATGACAATTTAGAATATTTTATCTCAAGAATCTTTAATGAATAGAATTCATATTATAAAGAAGAAAAACAAAGAGTTCCAGAAAAAAAAATTATATACGAATTATATGAATTAAAAATCTACAAATACAAATATTTATGCTAAGAATATATTATTATATGTTTATATATATACTATTTAAAAATGATAATAATAAATATGTAAATTGATTCCTGTACATGATATGAAAGAACAATAATATTATTATTGTGGAGTTATCTATATAGAAGAAAGGTGATGTTTGAATGCAAATGCAAAGATGTAAATGTGATGCCACGATAATGCATGTAATACAATGGTTTTAGGTGGGTTTAAGATGTATTTCGTTTCATATTTTTTCGTTTTTCATTCATACTTTTCGTTCCAAATCAGAATTTAAATTTAAATCATAATTTGTTGTTTCCGGAAAATGTACTGAAAAATCTTGTGAATCCTTCTTTCCACTAAAAATATAACTCTTTCTTAATGGTTTCATGTCAATTGCGTATTCTCCTTCAACCGAATTAAAACTATTTCCACTACTATTATTATTATTGTTATTATTGTTATTATTGTTCTTATTATTGTTATTATTGTCGTTACTATTGTCGTTACTATTGTCGTTATTATTATCAATAGTTTTTACAAAAGTTACAGTATCAACCACAATTCCTCTGGAATTAGTATTAGTATGACTTCTATTTAAAGTTGCTCGATGATCTGTCACTTCAGCATTAGATTGAGAAGTACTTGATAATGAACCATCACCACCAGAAGATTGGGTTTGACCTGTGTAATGTAAGTAAACTCGTTTCGCTAATACATATTGCACTACTACAATCAATGGTTGTATTCCTGTAATATGCCACATCACTGATAAAAAAAGATTTACTCCATTTATAGAAGAAATTATTTGAGTGTGATATATTCCAAAAATTCCCCACCAAGGACCAGAAATTAAAGGTAATACAGCAATGTAAGTCATGGTATATTTTAATCTGTCTAATGCTTCTCGTGTTCCATGTTTAGATCTTTGAAATGAAATAGAAGTACGGCTAAATTGTTTTACAGTACTTCGAAGGATTAGCATAAAATTAATTCCATAATATATACCAGATAATGCAAAAATTGTATCAAGAACAAAATATGTTATATATTGAGCACTTGTCCATTGATCCGTTTCTGAGACTTTACCATGGTCACGAGAAATACCAGACAAGATAGAAAATGGGAAAACTGTTACTGTAGGAAGTAAGCACCAAATAGCTAATATCCAATTTAATTGTGTAGGGGTAGGAAGATAAATATCACGACTAGTAGAATATTTTAAATCACTTCTTTTGGTTTCGATTTTTATGACGGCGCGTGATCCATGTGTATAATTAGCAGGAATTGTATAAATGATTCCTAAAATATCAAATAAAAAATATTAATTAATTTTAAAAATTAAATAACCATAAATTTGTGAAAATATAAATATATATTTACCAACTATATAACAAATTGCTCCATAGCAAATAATCGTCCATCCACTTTCTTGTAGCATTTCTCTTTGCCAGTAGGCAGTATATGCATTCAATAACATAAGTAAAGAATGTAATCCTCGAAAATAACATCCAATAGTCCAAAAGAATAATAAACAATCTACTGGTAATGGGCGAATACCATTTCCATGGTCAACAAATAATCCTTGCCACATATATTTATATCGATACCAAAAAACAAATGTACCGGTAATTGAGAGGATAACATAAGAAACAAGCGAGATTATTACTTCAATCACCCATAATTGACTCATTTCACAATTATATAATTCTATACGCCAGTCACAAAAGTTGGGAATGACAGTAGTAATATTTGACATTGTTGAAAAGTTAAGGAAAGAATAATAATAACAACAATATATCAAAAAGTTAAGGAAAGAAGAAGAATAACAACAATATCAAGATTCCACAACAAGAAATTTAATGAATTTAATCCAAATTAATCTATTTATTTATATAAATTTTTTATTTTTGAAATGGGGGTTTTTTTTTTTAAAAAAAAAAAGGTTTAAAGTAAAATTCTAAATATTAATGATACAGTATATATTTGTGCCAGTCCTGCTGAATTTGGACAATATTTTTATTTTTTTAAGTTAGGGTGAGGAAAAAAAAACTTGAGACAAGACAAAACGAAATAGAGATATGATTTAAACTCCCTAAACGGTAGAGAAGAAGGAAAAGAAAGGAAAGCACACATATTTATGTATTTATGCAAATGTAAAAAATTGGTAAAATTAAATATATTAATTTTCTTTATTGGATAAATTATATATGCTAAAGTATGTGTCAATGCAATGATGCATATATGGTAATATTTGTAATGTAAACTTTATAAAGTTTAATTCTTTATTTTTTATATAAAGAAATTTTTGGAGAATAAGGACGAAAAAATTATTGGTTAAGATCGGGACTTTGTTAAAAGAATTAGTTTTATCAATAAATAAGAATGTTGCATAACTTACCTTTTTTTGGAAATAAAAATGTACCTCGTGCTTCAAATAAACCAAAATAATGGATTTTACAAGGGAATTTTTTGGTAGTTACAACAATGTAAGCTAACGATGATGATTGATTTTCGCGTGGAACGAAGATTAGCGGATAAAAAAGAGACAAAGAATTCACTTAATATAAAACATGTTAAACTAAAGAATATTTTGATACGAAAGTGTCGTTCGTCATTATATTGGAATAAATATATTCTTCAATTCCCAGTCATCCATAATTAATCATCGTCTTGGATTCAAAATTATAAATTATTTTTTTGATAATCACTACATGTTAATTTTTGCTTTTCAGCAAAACAATAATGCTAAGTCTGTTCGACTAATTTGGGAAACAAAGAAATTATTAAATGTTTAATTAAGAAATATAATTATTTCATATATATTACAATGCAACTTCAAAATATTAGATTTGAGTGGTATATTTGTATATTTGTGAGACGAAGCCTAATAATGAATTATTCACGTGAAAGCTTAATAAAATTTTACGGGTGATAATAGTTTCCTTTATTAAATATTTTTCGAATTTCCTGTTTCTCATTGTGAATGAGTGATTCATTCCACTATTTCTACTTTCGCACTACTATTTAGTATTATTGAGTTACCCCACATTTCATTTTTTCAGAACCCTGTTTTCCTGATTAGGATATTAATAAATAAACATAAAAAAAAAAAAACTTAAAATTAACATAACATATTTCTGCATTGGGATAATGTGGATGTACAAGTTAACCTTTTGTAAATACAACACGTGAACACGTGACAATAAGGAAATTGAGGCGAAATAGAAAGCAAAATTCAAAAAAAAATCATATAATTGGTAAAATGGTAACCAATAAATTACTGATGAAATTTGTTTACCGAGACTTTTTATGCCAACCGAGAAAGCAAGGAATTTATTCTTTATATTTCATTACTCGCATTGTAAAAAAAAAATAAAATAAATAAATATCAGTATTTATCGTTTTCTTTGTCTTTTTCATTAATGAAGACAGGCATTTTATAATTCCAAGAAAACATTGGTTCTCTTTAACGCCTGTTAGATAAACAATAATGACTACTAGAGTTATAAAAGATGATTTTGGAATTGGTGATTTAAATTCTTTGTTGTTTTATAAATATATACAAATTAAAAATAATTTACCTATGACAAAATGGTATAATTATCATACAATTATTATTAGACGAGTATTCAGAAATTTATAGATTTGGGAAAATGCTATAACGCAAATATTACGGATATCAAACATAGCATATAATTCTGATTTCTTACACAGATCATGGATGGATCATAGCTTATTAATTAAACTTTAGTAACCAAACCTCCATTAATAACAAGATTTAAATTATGAAGATTATAAAAATTACGGAAAACGGGTTTCTAAAAAAATCGGGAAGACAAAACAAAATTTTCGAAAATCTATAGCTTAATTTAGGTAACATTTTTTATTATTCAGCCTTGATGAACTATACCATAAATATTTTTTGAACTGCGACACGGGGAGCTTCATATTGAAACGCTTTAAACTTATTTAGGGCGTACTGCAACTTACGTAAATGTGTTATGTGTAATGTTTGCTGATATAAACATATTTGGAAATTCTATCAACATTTTGCAGACGTTAACACCTGAGCATCCTTTTTCGGTCACAGAGATATTGACTATTTTCATCAAAAACCCCTGTGGAATATTTTAAAGCATTGTTTCTAAAGTATATAAAGTATACGAAAATCAAGTGGTTTTTATAATTTAGGCACCGAAATTTATCACGAGTTTTCTAAATTCAATTAGAATTTTTCAAATGCAAATTCGATTTTCCTTGATAAGAAGAATTTAAATCATTGTTGAGCTATAAGATCACTGAATAATGAAATATAAATATAAATCAAATACCTTTTAATTTAAAATTATAAAAATTATATTATAACTAGATTTAATAATAAGGTATATGCCCTACATAAATAACTTTTTTATAAAATGGCTATCACATGATAGAAAGTCTAGAATCATCAAATATTATGGGAGCGCTGAAATTTAGTGGTTAACGTGTCATATCATTTATCACATAAGTGCTTACCAGAAGTACAAAAAATATTATATGGACAAAAAAAAATTTACATATGTCATATGAAAAATCTGAGCGACCAGAGAAAATTATTTACTGCTGAAAATTTTATTATTAATATTACAAATGCCTTTGATTATACATTAACTACTCAATAAATTATTATTAATTATGGTAAAAAAAATACATTAAATTGTAGATCTAATCTAGAACTATCAAAATAATGTATTTGTTTTTTTAATTCTGTTTTTGGATGTAAAGTCTTTATAGTTTAAAAAATTGGATAGTCTTGGACTTTTTGCACCATAGTAATTTTTTTATTCAAAATTTTGCAGATCTTTATACCATTAAATATTATAAAATTTTTGTTAAAAACAAGTGCTAAAGATCTCAAATTATTACTTGCATAGCAAACCTTTTATTATTGAAAATCTGTATAGCTGTTTCTTTTAAAACGGAAACCAATTAATTGTTATTTTCTTGTGTTAACTAATTACAGTTATTTTGTTAAATCTTTTTATATATCTTTAGAAGTAATAAATATTTTATAAATCAGTAAAAAATTTTTTTCCTTGAATTCTTAATATTGTATTGAAAATCCTAATAATGTATCTGATACTCAGTTAGTCATGTGTTGTTTATAAAGCAAGTTTTTGAAATTTAAACCTGATATTTTACAGCTTCGAAACTGGTTTAAGTTTAGACTGTTCAATTATATCTTTACTAAAAATAATATCTTTGTTTCTTATCTTCTTATCATTTATTATTAAAATAGGACATTTTTTTTCTCCATATGTATATATTAAAAGTTATAATAATAATCAAGTTTTTACAAAATTAAATTAAAAAAATGAATTGTAAAAAAAGGGATTTAATTTTTTCGTGGGAATTATTTTGTCAGCAATTAACATTTTATAATCCAATGAAGCCACATGAAAATATTTTAGTCACTTGACAAGACGTAAAGTATTAATAATAAATAATGATGCATTGCCCTATATTTGGTTACTTATTACATTATATAAAAAACAATGTTTAGAGCATTTTTTTTTTTTTTTTTGCATTTTTTAAATAAATCGAAAAAGAATAAACATAATGAATGATTAAATAAAAATTGAAATGTTTTCAGGAGGTTCTCACATTCTCCTTTAATACCTTCACATTAATTTTCCCCCTTCCTAATCATCGCCAATAAATTTAGCTTAATATACTTAATAAAACCTGTTACCCAATGGTTACAAATAAATTCCGTTATAAATTAATAAGAAACCCCCATTTTTTTTTTAAAAAAAAAAAAAAAAATAAATAAATAAACCTATCATCTGACAGTATAACACAATTCATGTAACGTTTAAAGAATCATTCATTTTTCGCTTTAGTCCATTTTCACGTTCATCTGCTTTTCTGATCCTTTACCTCTAAAATTATTTTATTTTAAATTTTTTTGATGCATTTTTTCTTCGTTTAATTTTTATTTATAAATATCTTAATATAATATCATCATTTATAAAATCTTTACATTTTTCGATGAATGCTAATGCAAACACGAATGAATTAAATGAAATTAATTAAAATAAATAAAGATTATATTAAATTCATCCGAGATTCCCGAAACTCTTTTACTCATTTATTTAAAATTTTATCTTAAAATTCCTATCTCATCAAAATTTCACTAATTTCAACAGCAATTCTCAAAAAAATGGTCAAACCAACATATCAATCTATTGAGGACATTGGAGAAGATCAACGTAACTTCTATCACAATAACAATAATGTCCGACGATTATTACGTTTGAAACCTTCAATGAAAAAAGTTGTCTTTTTGTTACTTACATTATGTCTAATCGTTAGTTATCTGTTATCTTTTATACCAATTTTTGAAGGTATGAAATAATGGGGAAAAAAAAGTAATAATGATCAAAAATATAAAATAAAATAATAATATTGACGCAATAAAAAAAAAAGGAATAAATTTATATAAACATCTTTCTCTATATGACAAACAGTTCAAGAAGTGATCAATAATAATAATATTAATAATAACAGTAATGAAGGTCTTGTCACAGCAGAACACGGTGCCGTAGCTTCTGAATTGGTGAATTGTTCGAATATAGGTGTCGAAGGTGATAACCATTTTAATTTTAACAATTCTAATTTGTTATCGAAAAAATAATAATTTAATTTTAATAATGTTATTTGTGTAGTATTAAAAGAAGGTGGCTCGGCAGTTGACGCAGTTATTTCAACTCAATTATGTGTAGGCACCATTAATGCATTTTCTGCCGGAATCGGAGGGTAAAGTATAAATTATATCACATTATCCCGAATTTTAATTACCGAAATCGTTCTATTACTATCACTTATACAATCACTTCTATCATTCCCTATAATTTATACTATTCTGATAATTCTTTAGAGGTGGTATAATGATGATTCGATTATCAAATGGTAATTCGGAAATGATAGACAGTCGAGAATCCGCACCTTCCGGAGCAAGACAAAATATGTATCAAAAGAATGAAACTTTGGCTGCGATCGGTGGGTTAGCTGTAGGTGTACCGTAAGTTTATGTTAATAAAAAAATTTTTATTTTAAAACAATATTTTTATTTTTGCTTAAAGTAATTTTGACTTTTGAAATTTTATTTAGAGGTGAAATTCGAGGAATGAAACTTGCACATGAAAGGTAAGCTTTATTATAAATAATGATAATGATAATGATAATAATAAATAGTAATAATCAATTTTATTTAGATATGGAAAATTACCATGGAAACGATTATTCGAACCATCAATAAAATTAAGTAGAGAAGGATTTCACGTGGGACCTGAATTAGCTTTAAGATTAAAGGTAATAATAATAAATAATAATTTACAAAAATTGTTTTCAATATATATATATATATATATATTTCAATTTCTTTAATTTTCATTTTAGATGTTTAAACCATTAATGGAAACCGATCCCGTTTTTAGTGCAACATATGCACCCAATGGAAGAATTCTTGAAGAAGGAGAAATGATGTATAGATTAAATCTTTCAAAATCTTTGGAAATTATTGCAAATAATTATACTGAATTTTATGAGGTATGAATAAATAAAATAATAAATAAATAAAGTTAATAAATAAATAAATAAAATTAATAAATAAATAAATAAATAAAATTAATAAAATAAAATTAATGATGAAATAAAATAATGATCTAAATTTTCAGGGATCAATTGCTAAATCGTTAATACAAGCCATAAATTCACGAGGAGGTATCATGACTTCTAAAGATTTTTCAAATTATCGACCTATAATTCGTGAACCTCTTATTGGATATTATCATGGAAGAAAGGTGAGATAATATTTATTATTTATTCGTAAATAAATAAATAATAAATAATAATAATAATAATAATAATAATAATAATAATAATAATAATAATAATAATAATATAATAATTTCAATATATAGATTATAACGACACCAGAACCGACAAGTGGACCTGCATTATTATTAATGTTAAATTTATTGGAAGAATTTAATATGTCGAAAACTGGATTCAATAGCCTTAATTTGCAAAGGTGAGTTAAGAACTTTAATTTTAACTATTTAATTTTTAACTTAACTACTTAACTTTAATTTAATTATAATTTTAACTATCTTTAATTTTAATTTTAATTTTAACTATCTTAACTTTAATTTTAATTTTAGAATCGTTGAAACTATTAAATGTAATTAAAAATCAAAAATTATCAATTATAACAATTATACCAATTTTACTAAATTTATAATTATTATTTATGAATTAATAATTAGTTGGATTCGCTCGACGTACCGAATTAGGTGATCCAAATTTCGTATGTTTATATTTTTTTATGTTACATTTATGATGTTTATATAATATATTTATATGTATTTCTTATCATTTCTTATTCAAATTCTTGTAAAAAAAAAATAGTTCGGAAATATAACTGAACACAAACTGCGAATAAAAGAAATTATATCTAAAGAATATGCCCGGATAGTGAGACGGAATATATCGGATGTAATTTTATTTTTTTTTATTTTTAAAAAAAAAAAAAGATTTATTTGGTGACGAAAATAAAATAATAAACTTTATCAATAACGTTATTTATTTAAAATAGTATCAAACATTTGAACCAGAGTATTATCAACCTGTTTTCGATTATACTGCGGATCATGGTACTACTCATATGTCAGCGGTAGATGTATCTGGAATGGCAGTTGCTTTTACTTCCACGGTAAGTTTACGCGATAATTCAAGAATAATTTACGCGGATTATTTTTTTATACAACAATAATAGTAATTTAATAAATTAGATTAATCAAATTTGGGGATCACAAGTAATGGATCCGGTTACTGGAATTATTTTAAATAATGAAATGGATGATTTCTCGATACCTGGTAAACCTAATACATTTGGATTATGGCCTTCACCTTATAATTTTGTTGGTAAATATTTATTTATTATATATTTGATTTGTTATATTTGATTTGTTATATTTGATTTATTATATTTATTTATTATACTTGATTTATTATTTATAATATAATTATTGGAAAAAGCACCAAATAAACGTCCATTATCATCAATGGTACCGACAATAGTAGAAAGAAATGGAGAATTTGAATTAGCACTTGGTGGTAGTGGAGGTGCAAGAATTCTTACTGCAGTATTACAAGTAAAATTTTCTTTATTTTTATTTTTATTTTTTGTTATTTTATTATTTTTGTTATTGTTATTTGAGGTAAAAGTTTTTTCTAAAAAAAAAAAAAAAAAAATTTTTTTATATCTTATTAAAAAAAAGGTTTTGTTAAATGTATTTGATTTTGATATGAATATTTTACAAGCCATTGATGCTCCTAGAGCCCATCACCAATTATTACCCAATATAGTAAGTAAAAATATATATATACGTAATATAACATAATATACAGTATTTTTATATTTATATTTATTATTATTGATAGTTGGGAATGGAAAGTGGATTTAAATATGAATTGATTAATGATTTATTGGATATTGGACATGTTGTAAGTATAAATATTATACTGTATTTATATGATATTTCATTATCAAAAATTATAAATAATAGTATAATGTGTAAGCCATTAATTAATTATATATATTAAATAATAATAATAGATACAATTACATAATATACAAGATAGGACATTTTCATGTCAAGTACAAGCAGTAATGAAATCATCTAATGGAACTATTTATGGTATATTTTTTATCATCATTATTTACTGTTAATTATCAATAATTTTTACTAATCATTATTATTAATTTGTTCTTTCTTTTTTTTCAACTATAAATAATAACTATAAAAACAAAATTAATTTAACAAAAATAACTAACTATAAATATAATAATAATAATAATAGCTGCCAGTGATTTTAGAAAGAATGGAGTAGCAGTAGGATATTAGTAATCTCTTAAAACTAAAATAATGATAATATTTATTTATTTATTTTAATTTAATTAATTTAAATTTTTTTTTTGTTTATAAAAATTTTTTTTTTTTTTTAAAAAAAATAAACTAATATTGTTAAATTTTTTCTTGTGATAGATTTTTCATTATTCAAAATCTTTATATTCTTTACTAGCTTTGTCTAAAAGTGATTCCACATCTTCATAATTTTCTTCATCAATTACTTTACAGTAATAATAAAAATGACATTATTATTAGTATTAAAATTAACATTAATTTTAATATTAAAAAATAATTGTATATAGTAATAATAAAGAGTAAAATGCTTACATATTTCTTTTAAACCATGACCAAAATTTGATAGTGCAACTACTACGTACCAAAATGTTAACTATTGAATAAATAAAAATAATAATTAATAATTTAACATTAACAATGATAAGAATACATAATAATAATTACCAAAAAGAAAAATATATTCAAAACAGCTATAATAATCATTATATATAAAGTATTAATAATTTATTAAAAGAAAAACAAACCAAATAAAATAAAATAAAAAAATAAAAAACTTACTTATACTTGTCCAAAAATACCATCCACTATTAGCGGTATCCACACTATCAATAATAAAGAAGGCAAAATCAGCTACACATATACTCCATAAAGCAAAATATACATAAGTTCCAGATTTCGATTCTCTTGTATACTAAATATAAGTAAAGTAATAATAATAAGTAATAATAATAAGTAATAATAATAATAAGTAATAATAATAATAATAATAATAATAATAATAATAATAATAATAAGTAATAAATAATATTAATAATAATTAATAACAATAATAAAAATAACAATTACCGAATAATGACAAAGAACAATAGAGAAAATGGCAATAACCAAAATTACAGAATGAAAATAATAAAATATTTTATATTTTGATTTTCCAAGTATCGGTAATGCTGCGGCTGTAATGATAGCATATGAAATGACTAAGAAAGCGTCAATTTTTAATAATGCTCGGAGTATCAATGATATTCTATACATTTCTAAATAGAATAAATAAATATTAATTAATATAATCAATTAAATAATGATATGATATAATTAAATAATGATATGATTACCTCTGACCTTTCGATTATATTCAACTCTTTTATATGCTCCGAATCCAAATGCCGAATATAATTTTAAAGCAATTGTAAATGTTAAAACGAAAAATACTAGTGACGCAGCAACATATGCATATTCATATTTATTATAATCGGTATAATTTGAATCTGTATCCAATTGATAAGTTCCAGGACAAGTGTCTCGTACATAATCAAGGGCTATATCAACTTCAATTTGTTGAACCTAAACATAGTTGATTAAATATAATTAATATTGATTATTATAATATTAAATTATTAATTAATGTAATAATTGATATAATTATTAATTAATGTAATAATTGATATAATAATTAATTAATTACTTACTACTGAATAAAATACAACACTAAGATCAAATAAAAATTTTACAACAATTTGAACTATATTTGAATTAATAATCTATTTCATTCGATCATTCAGACATAAATTAATTTTTTTAGTAATAATAATAATAATAATAATAATAATAATAATTTAAATATTTATAATGTTTAATTACTTACTGCATCAAAAGTTAAATAAAATTGAAAAAATTGGTAAAAAATAAAAATAAAATTTTCAGCTATTAATAAAAAAAATCTATTATGAATTTCTTTTATTCCGCATGAAGTAGCGAGTGCATTATCTTCATCTAAATATTCTTGCAATTGATTATGTAAACCATTATTATTATATAATAATTTTATTTCAATTGCTATTAGTACTAATGCTTGAATTAAAGAAGTTGAAATCAACAATTTCGTATAATTCGAAAGTGTAATTCTATTCAACTTATGTTATTATTGGATCCGTTTTTTTAGTGGTTTACAAGAAATAAATTTAAATAAATGAGAGATTAAATTGATTAAATTAAAGTAGAGTAGATGTGTAGATTAAAATATTTTACCTTTCTCCAAAAATTTTCTGAAAATGATGATGTCATCTTTAACTAATTTATTTAAAATTTTATTTGAGAAATTTCTGAAATCACTTTTTTCTCACCCATTAAATATGAATTTATTAAATCTTCGAATCTATTAATTTAATCTATAAATTTATGATATCCCACATTATTAAAAGAGAAGGCTGTGTTTCGGTGAATTTTTTTTTTAAAAGCCATACGATCATATCTGAAAAGCAAGATTTATACATTTATACTTTATATTTATTTTAAGTTTCCTTCATATCGATGGGCTAATTTATTGGCCTTTAATTGTAACAATTTCTATAATAATTCTTGTACAATACATCTAATAAACGTTGACTTCAAATATTCTATTTACTAATTTTTTTACTATTTTCTTTTACTATGTTTGATATCAATTATTAAATTAATACAATGAATTATATATATATTATATATTATAAAAAGTCAATGCTTCAAAAATAAATAATTTTTTTAAAAACTCGGGGATCGATTCTAAATGCAAGAACAACGACAATAATATTGTTTATTAATTAAATATCTATAAGTTAAAAGAAGTCAAATAACTCTTTCTAAACATCTTCATATTTATTTTATCACCTACATTTTGGTACTTTGCCGAGCCGCATTTAAAATTAAACGGGACGGACTTGTATTTTTTATTTTCATATCAATATATATCCAACACATATAACATATATGACACATATAACATATATACATATATATATATTGAAATTAATATATTAATTTTATTAATTTTATAAAGTTTTGGTCGGCAACAATAAAGAAAACAGAATAAAGAAAGTGGCCAATCAAAAAAATTAGTAAATAATAATATACAAATAATAAATATAAATAATAAATATAAATGATAAATAATTATAAATAAATGTTACGAGAAACTAGAATATGGTATTCGTAATGGAAGTGTATTAAAATTTTCAAGGTTTATAGAAAAGAAGCAAACAAAAATTCTTTTGAAGGTCGTTTATTATAGTTATATTGTGATGATGATTTATTATTCTTCTTTAATTGAAAAAAAAAATATGGATAAACCCCAAGAAGTTATGTTCAACATTAAACTTGATTCAAACATGAAAGCTAGATTTATAAAGTATTTTAATATAACGTAATAATATAAAGAATAATTATTTATTTCTTGCTTTGAATAATGGCAATGGTAAAAATCTAGATGCACCACCCAGAAGAAATCCTGATTTGGTTATAAATTATTATTAACAGTAATTAATGAAATAATATAATAATATAGTAGTATTGTTTTTGAACAACCCATCTAAGAGAAATGTTTCTTATAAAATAAAAGTTGGAGAACTAGTAGTTATAATTCTTTTTTCATATCGAATCTAGAATTGATCTTAAAAGAAACGTTTTTATTAATGAATAGGATTTCACTGAACTAAATTCAGTACATTGTTCTGAATTCTTGAAGCCATGTCGAAGAAGCCACCTGACTTCATATTATGTAATTATCTTTATCTTAAGTGGCTTGTCACGTACCACCGGTCACAACACATATTTTTTGTGGAGGATTGAAATTCTTCCGCAGTATTAACCATTTCAATAAAAGAATTCTAATTTGAATGATTATAAATAACTTTTTATAAAAAACTCATTTTAGCTCGTGACTGTACCCTTTAATTCACATGAAGAAGATGAAAAAAAATACTTTTAAATAAGAATAAGATCAAAAAAATTTAAAATATGTATGCAAAATTCCAGAACTTTACAATCTCATAGTATCTCTTTTTTTTTATATATTTTTTTCATATAAATTTTTTTTTAAAAAAACTTGCATTTCACTAAATATTAAAGAAGATATTAAAGTTACAATTTTGAGTAGTGTTATAGGTGAAAAAATTGTCCATCCACTTGTAGAAGACATGTAAAAAATCATATTATAGTTCTACGGGCAGTACCTGATATAAATTGTTGATTTATTATACTGCCATCCAAATTCAAAATCCAAATGCCAAAATCCCAAATCCCAAATCTCAATTCCAAACCCCAAATCCAAATTATTTTTGGCACCCCAAATTATTTTTGGCATTTCAAATTATTAATAGAATTAAAGAAGTTAATGTAAAAGATAATAAAAATTTTTAAAATATCATTTTTTGTTTTTTCAATTACCATTGTCATAGTGTCAAGATGCTGCATCAAGTTTGAAAGTTGTGAGATACACATCATGGTACAATCAATTTGTTTTTTTAATAATTACTATAAAAATATTTATTATAACTCAAAAATAATTCATCATTGTTTATACAAATAAAGTTTTTTATTTTAATAAGTAAACAATAATAATACTAAATAACCTTAAAGATGAGAATAATATACATCTTCTGTAAAAATTTCAGACCTATGTTTTAAAAATTGAATGAATAATTATTATTTAAATTTTTTTTTGTCATTCAAACTTTAACTATTAACAATATACTCAATTTTGAAGATATAGGTCTGAAATTTTTACAGAAGATGTACATTATTCCCAGCTTTAAAGTTAATTAGTACTATTTTTAACATTTACTTATTAAAATAAAATATTATATATATATAAACCATAATGAGTTATTTCTGATTTGTAATTTATAAAGTATTTTTAAACAAATTGATCATATCGTGAAGTGTATCTTATAACTTTTAAACTTAATGCCATCTTGGCACTATGACAATGGTTCCTTTACTAATGGAAAAACAAAATATAATTTTATATTTTATTTTATATTTTTTTTATTTATATTTGTAATTAAATTCCAAGTATATTATTATTATATTATATTATTATTAATATTATTATTTATTATATTATAATTATTATTATTATTATATTATAAAATTATTATTTTATTCTGTAATATTATTTATATCAAATTTACACCTTTCCAATGATTTATTTATTATTGATTCAATATTAAAATTTTGTTTACCAGAATCAATATATTCTGTTGATAAAGATATCTCAACAGTTACTTCAACTTCAAGAACTTGTTGAAGTTCAATATCAGTAACATTAAAAAATAAATCAAAATTTTAAGAATTTGATATTTGATTTTCACTATACATGCCCCCAAAATTAAAAATCCAAAACCCGACCCTGATTAATTTAAAATGACCCCAAAATTGAATTCCGAAATTCAAAATTAACCCCGAAATTATTATAAAAGATGAAAATATTTATGGGGGTCAAAATTATTATGGGTCCAAAATTTAGTGTAACCTCGGTTGAAATTAGCATTTCAGCGGGGGACGAAATAATAGTGTAACCTCGAAATTATTACGGGGACGAAATTTAGTGTAACCCCAGTCAAAATTAGCATTTCGACGGGGGACGAAATAGTTGTGAAACCCCAAAATTATAGATCTATAGATTTTTTTTTTAAAAAA